TCAAGGATCCTTTGCTCCCACCACACTGGGCTTTCACCTCAGGCTGACAGGCAGAGCTTCACAAACAGATTACAGACAAATATCAGAACCTACAAGTAGGCATATACGTGACAGACACATGACAGATTCCTGAGCTCAGGTATAAATCAAAGAACGCCTTAAATTTTCTTACCCAGGGCCTTAGCTCGTGAGCTCAGAGGAGCAGGGATCAAGGTCTCCCCAAGAAATCTCGGTGCCGGACGGACGTCCGTCGATTCCCACGTCCGTCGCATCTCAGAAGCCGTGTCCCATCTGGGTTGCCAAAACTGTTACTATAAAAGCTGCTTAGAATAACTCTCTAGGACTTGTTTTGGAGTTTTAGCAAGCAGGCATTCTTTATTGCAGCGCTGGACACACAGGGGATATCTCCCCCTAGCATGCGTACCGTCATACAGAACTACAGCATATGCCTAAATTTACACTTATTAGTTAGTGAGTAACACTGCATACGCTATTGGTTTGCTACATTTAAATGAGCCTTGCTTGCTACGTAAATTAGCACGCATGCTCCTTTCAGGTGTGTGGGGGGGTAAATCTTCTCGGTCCTGAATTGAGTCCAGTGGTCGCGATCTCCCCTTGCTGCATTTACCTTTCATCCAGTTTCTGCAGTCTGATGAAACTTGACGCTTCTCTGGCCACCGTCCAGTCTTCAGTGCCAAGATGGTCCCTTTTATCGGTCTGTTAGCTCTTCTTCCAGGCTAGAGCCATTAGTTTTCCACAGTTCATTACTTCTACAAACACTTTCATATCTTTGAGCTCCCTCCCAGATCCCTTTCTCAAGGCACAAGCGGTTAGTAATTTTGCTAATTGGAAAACTACTGTTTCTGCTTAGCTTTAGAAACTATTTACAACAGCAGGTCAGTTTGCGTGGGACATTCTGCATATGCACACACCACGTGTGCGCTACGTGTGGGTGCACGCAGCATCTCTCAGCACTCTACATCTATGTACGTGATACCCTAGCCAGGGTATCAGCTCCAACATGGCACTACCCTTGCCGCTCCATGCCTTGCGCGGGGACCTTGCCGGCCCGTCCACTTCCCCGCAGGCACCGCCACCCTCCTCGGGGCTTTCCCTGGGACCTGCCGGTCCATAGCCCGGCCCCTGCTCACCTTCTCCCTTGGTGCAGCCACAGCCTGGCAACTGCTCCGCTCCTGCCTTGCCTCACACCAGCCCCTCCACAGCCACCCAAGGCAGGGCAGCACCAGCCCCTCTCCAAGCAGCCACCCTTTTCAAGGGAGAGGCCAGCGCCATCAGCCTCACTGCCCGCACCTGGGCCTTCTGCAGCCCCGGCCCACAGCTGGAGCCCAGCAGGAACAGGGGGCCATTACCCGACCCCCACAGTGCATCAGTCATCTCCTGCCCTGAGCTCCGCCACAGCCCCTTGCCTGGTGCAAAGGGAGCACAACTGCAGGCCTCAGGGCAAAGGAGGAGGCGGGTGTTGATTCAGTCACACACATAACAAGTCCCAGGAGCGAGTCTGTGTACAGGCCAGAGACGGAGCGATTAAAAAAATAAGTAAAGACAGGGCCAGGGGGCCAGGCGCAGAGACACAGAGAAAGCGAAAGCAACGACGGGCTACAGGACAGATAGGGAGGCATTAAAAAATCCTGGCAGGGAGGCAGACAGGGAGGGACGGCGAAAGAAATGAAATCGCAATGCGGCACGGGGCCAAGAAGGACAAAACTGAAAAACAGGGTGTGGGAACCGGGAAGAGAGAGACAGAGGAAGAGAAGATACCGATGGGCTCTAGGGCAGAGAGGGGGGATGAAAAAACAGGGGCGGGGAGATGGAGGGAGACAGGAATACAAGGGGGAAAGCAGCAGGGCGCAGGGCATGGAGGGAGGAGGCACAAACAAGGAGCTGGGGCCAGACGGAGAGAGGCGCAGACAGAGAACTGCAACCGTGACGGGCTGCAGGGCAGAGGGGGGATGTGAAAAATCCTCTTCTCGAGCCGGACGGAGAAAACAGAAATGGGGATGGGGAACAGGGGCGGGGCCTGTTGCTGGGGGCGGGGCCTGTTGCTGGGGGCAGGGCCTGTCGCTAGGGGCAGGGCCATTCCCTTGCCAGGCTGTCTCCAGGGGCGGGGCCTGTTGCTAGGGGTGGGGCCATTCCCCTGCCAGGCAGTCTCCAGGGGTGGGGCCTGTCACTAGG